GGAACGGCCTGGGCGGCCAGCAGGGCCACGGGGAATGGCGCTGGCGGGACTGCTGCGATCCGAGAGAGGGCGCCCGCCCATATATTTGCCTCCTTTGGCACATGTTCAACAGAAGAACTCAATTTGAAAGCGGCCTTGCGCCAAGAGGTCTCCCGCGTAACTGCGTTGAGCTCTCGGCGGCCGCGCACATGTGCAGCCGCAGTCACGGCGCCCAAGTTGTCACCTTTCAAAACAAGGTGTTGGTCGACTGCTAATTCGTCGCCCCAGACGATCAAGCACAGAAGCGCTGTGATGCTCTTCCACAACGTCTGCCACTTGGAGGAACAAACCGCTGCCTCGAATCGATCGCGCACACACTCGCTGCAGGAGCAATGGAAATAGCGAGCGGGGCGCCCGTCTTCGACGAGGACGCCGCCGCCGCCCCACGGGGAAGCGTCGAATTCAATGTGCGCCCGCGCTGCTGGCAGACGCATGGGGTCTGGAGACGCACGCGCGATGCGGCGCAACGGCAGCACAGTCCCGCGAAGAGGTGCCAAAAACCACGCTGCTGCCGCCGAAAATCGACGAATGGCGACGCGCCCAGGCGGCGCTTCGGGCCGGGCCGATTTAGCCGCCGACTCGGCGGCCGCCAATGCAGCCCACAGTGACGCTGCGAAGGGAGTCGCCTTCGGCACGACTTGCCGCGTCCGGGAAACTTTCCCGACAAGCGACCGGGCTTTGGAAATCCGCGCGACTCCACTCCGCTGGGCGAAAACCTCCAGCAGCGACAACGCTTCGCAAAGAAACTCAGCAGGGATGGTCATCTGTGTCACACCGTTCATCACGTCGTAATCGATGCCAAACCACCAGCGCTGGCCCGTTGCGAAGACGCCTTTCGACAAGGTCAGGCCCAGGCCCAGGCCCAAAACCAACCACCACGCAAGGACAACGTCTGCGTTGAGCTGCGCGTCTGCGTCCGCGCCCGCAAAGGAGAAGGCGGGGTCGTCGACGCACAGCTGAAGGCGGCCGCAGTCGGCTGGCACCGCGCCCTGGCTCGAGCGAGCGACCGCCGAAGCGAGGCGAGAGCGCGCGATGGTATCGACTTGCCCCCGAAACCGAGCACCCGCCAAACGATAACCCTGCCGTGGGCGCTCGCAGGAGGTTCCTTCAGCACCGCCACGTTGAACCGTCGCTCCTGTTCATGGAGCGGAACGCTCATGAAGGCGTCGCAAAAATCCAAAATGAAAGCCTACACGGCGCCTCCTGCCAGCCGTGCTGCGCGATCCGCCAGGATGGCCAGATGGGCGCCGTGGTCCACGCCTCGGGGCAATGCAACCCTTTCGTGCGCAGACGAAGTGAGGTTGACGGAATTGGCTTTCAAAGATTGGATGATTCGGTTCTTCACTGTGCCATCCCCTTTGACATCCCTCACGTTCCCAAGCGGGGCAGGGAAGATCCGTCCGAATCTTGCCTCGGCCGCCGCTTCGTCAAGGAACGTGTCAGCGTGCCCTTTGGACAGATACCCGCGGATCAGGCCCAGCGTCGGCAACTCGCTCTCCCCATAGTTGTCCTCGAAAGACGGGTGGTTTGCAGTGAACCGACAAGGTTGCGCTGCCAGCTCGTCTGGGTTCAACGAGCGAGGCGACTCGGCGAGGGGGACATGCCCCCCTGGAGTAATTGGGCGCGTAATTCCCATGGGAGCGCCCGACTACAGCCACGCTCCGAGCGCCGTGCCCCCGACCTGGGTCAGCGCGAGGAACTGCTGCGCCAATCGGTGACGGATCGGGGACGCGCTGTGGGCGAGATGTGCCTCGCCCTCCAGAAGCCCCAGCGCCTGCCCGACGGCGTCTCGGAGGCGGCGCATGGCCTCCTGGGAAGGCGGCGCTCGTGACGGCGACGCCCCGCAGCAGTCCGTGAGATCCCGGAACACTGGGGCATTGCTGCGGATCGCCACGATGGCCTCCCGAACGCGCGCCATGACGTCTCCGACCTCAGGCCTGGCAGCGATGGCGTACGCGGCGTTACGCAGGCCCGCTGTGCAGCGCATGTCTTCCCTGTGTTTCTGTCCCCTCTGGTTCTCCTCGTCGACGCCGAGGCTGCCGCGACGTCGCGCCGACGCGCGCTCCGCCAGCGGCCCCTCCGCCAGCGCCAGACCCGCAACGGGTGCTAAATGACATGACCAAGATGACGATGATGACGTGGGAGGAGAAGCAGAAGAGGAAGAGGAAGCCAGCGGAGCAAGTCGGGAAAAAGTCGGCGACCCCTTTGCCCGCACCGCCGACAATCGCGCCCTTTGCGCCGTCAGCGTCGCCGACAGGGCTGACAGCGACGCGCTCAGCTCGGCGAGTTTGCGCTTCCGTCCCGCAGCTGGCGCGTCCGCCAGGGCCGCCGCGCTGGCGCGGCCGTCCTCTGTACTCCCGCTGACTGCGGAAGGAGGCCGCGCAGCTTCGGCTGCCTGCACGGGGAGACTCAAACTCCCAGCCGCCCGCCCGTCCAGCGCGGGCAAGGCCAACGATCAACTGCTCTTGGGCCTCCGGCGCTCGGGCCTCTCCGCGGCCCGGCAGGAGTCGTCGGTCGACTTGTGGTCTCCCAAGCGCCACTCGCACTTTTGGGCGCGGCCCTGCGGGCAAGACCCCGGCTCGCCCCCGGAGGCGTGGCGGTTCCAAGAGAAGCAGAGCTCCTTGCCGTCATAGCGAAGGAAACGGCCGTCCTTCTGCCGAGCCATGTTCGCTAAACCCTGCTTATTGTCCTTGGTCCTGGCCTTCTTCGGCGCTGGCCCCGAGTCAGAAGCGACCCTGGAGACCCTCGCCGGCTCCGCCGCGGGCGCGGGGGCCGTGGGCACTTTCGACGCCACGAGGCACAGCTTATCCACGTGCTCGTACCGCCAATTTGTATACGGTCCCGTGTCGGACTTGGCGCTGCCCCTGATCACTGCCTCCCACGGGCGGTAAGGCGCGAAGCTGCCGCGGTAAGTGTTCCCAGCTACCTCGGATTCGGTGCGCCTGCGAATGCGCTCCCACCTCTCGGACCTCATCTCGTCGTCAGCACGGGAGATGATGCCCCAGTGGCTCGGGAAGGCCATGCTGAGGAGACGCATCCCCTCCTCGTACTCGTCCAGCGGCCCCACCAAACACGCCTGCATAGTGAGCATGGCAGTGCGGAAGACCCTCCAACACTTCCTCCACGTGTCGAAAGAGGCTGGGCCTTTTACATGGCGCGTCACGGGCTCTCCCCCGACGAACACCTGCGCGGTGAAGCGGGGCAGCTTCTGCTATTGCTTTCCAAACGGCCCCCAGACCGCTAGGTCGGTGCGGGGCGCGGCGTCCTCCCATAACACCGCCGCGAGGGCCGAAAGCTGTTCGTGGGAAGCCTCCTCGTGCTCTCGGGGAGGCCCCCCATGCGCCTTCCCGAACTCGGCCACGAACTGGCGGAGCTTGGGCTCAGGAAGCATCTCGAACTCACGATCGTCACTTTGATCGATGAATCTCGAGCGTTTGTGTTTCCGCGTGCTGTTGTTCCCTCCGGCCGCGGGACCCACGCCACCTGGACCTCGAGGACCTCCCGGACCTCCTGCTGGCGTCGTGTTGCCGTCCGTGGCCCTCCTGCCGCCAAGGGTCCCGAAATCTGGCGGCGCCGCACCCCCGACCTCGGCGACCCGCTTGAGGAAACGAATCAGCGAGCCCTTCTGCAAACCTGTGAGAGGAGTGCCCTCGAACATGCATGAATCAAGGGCCTCGTTCAGATCTGACATGCGCAACTCGAGCAAATCTGTCACTGACAACTCCTCGCAAGTTCCCCCGAGCTGCTCCACGAAGGCGGACACTATCGCGGGGTTGCCGCCCAGAGTGGCGGTGAGCGCCTGTACCCGAAGAGGCACCGAGGCTGGCGGCACGGCGGTTTCGACTCCCAGGCCGACGGCCGCGTGGCGGGCTGCTGGACTAGCAAGCGGGGCATTCCCTCCCACTGCCGCTCCATCCTCCCCGAACCACGCCATCGGACTTCCCCCCAACTGGATCGAGGGAGAAAGGAGGAAAAGAAATGGGCCTTCGTCCCCAAAAATCCCTAGAGCCAAAATGGTCACGGTACCATCGACCGCTCCATTTGTTCCTGCCTGCACACGTGCACTCCCCCACAAGCGTGCATGTCCCGCACGTTCGATTGCACAAACTATTACGCACATGTTTGAGGTCCTCTTTTAGGGGCCTCCTAGTGGTCCGCGCAGATGGGGTCGAAGGATTGCGCTGCATCGCCAATGCGTCGGCGATGCATCGGCGATGCATCGCCGAGGCATCGGCGTGGAGGAAATCGGGCTCCGCATCGAGCCGCATCATCGATGCATCGGCGATGCGGCGCGATCCCGTCGACCCTATCTACTCCAACCCCATCTAGGAGGCCTAGACCATTGCAAAAGACCCATCCGCAAAGAACCCATTAGCTCAGCATGGGGGAAACGGGTCCTGAGGGAAACGGGTCCTGGATCCTGGAGCCTTCCCCCAGGACGAGATCCTCATCCTGCATCGATTTCTGACAGGGGCCCATAGAAGGCCCCGAGAGCCCGAGAACGGGAAAAACTGCAGGGCCCATTGCCCTCAGGTCCCGTTTTCCCCCATGGCGAGTTGCCCGAAAATCCGCGAAAAGGCCACTCCTAGAAGAAAACAAACGCCAAAAGTTTATGCTTGTGGCTTTCTCTCTCCCTTCTAGGAGCGACCTCTTCGCCGCTTCGGGCGCATTGCCATGGGCAAAAACTGGTCCTAAGGGCCACGGGCCCTGCGGTTTGTCGCAATTTTTAGAGGCCTCCTACCTAGAGAGGGTCGGAGTAGATTGGGTCGGAGGATCGCGCTGCATCGCCGATACATCGGCGATTTATCGTCGGGCATATCGAGCCACATAGGCGATGCATTGGCGATGCGGCGCGATCACCACAGCCCATCTATTCGCCCCCCTGCTGGGAGGCCTAGAATATCTTCTTCTTCTTCTTCTTCGACACCCTACGCCCGGTCGCAGGGAGGGCTGCCGACGTCCTGCGCCGGGGTCCGGCGTGCCCCCCACGGGCACCCGCCCGGGCGCGGGCCCATCGCCGTGGAGCCACGCCGAGCTGCGCCGCCGCTCCGCATCACGCGCGCGCCTCTCCCGGGCGCGCGGCGCAGTGCGGCCGCAGTCCAGCCATCGTGTGTTCCTCCTCCCTCCTCCTCCTCCTCCTCCTCCTCCTCCTCCTCCTCCTCCTCCTCCTCCTCCTCCTCTCCTCCTCCTCCTCCTCCTCCTCCTCCTCCTCCTCCTCCTCCCTCCTCCCTCCTCCTCCTCCTCCTCCCTCTCCTCCTCCTCCTCCTCCTCCCTCCTCTCCTCCTCCTCCTCCTTCTCTCCTTCTCCTTCCCTCCTCCTCCTCCTCCTCCTTCTCCTCCTCCTTCTCCTGCACATCCTCCATCGACTGCACGCAAGAGTGACCCCAGGTAAAAATGACCTTTGGTGCGCGGCTTTCAGGTGGCCGCGGGGGGACCATCACACAAGCGCGCAAAGACCCTACTACCACATCGCGTCCGGCCATCGGGGAACCCCAGTGGGCCCGCACCAAATGTCACTCCGGCGAAGGGTCATCCTTATGTGTAGTCGACTCCTTATCCTCCTCCTATTCCTCCTCCTCTTCGTGATTCCTGAGTCTTGATGACTGGAAAGATCGTCGATCCTAGCCCTCCCCCCCGGCCAGGGCCAGTCGGCCCTGGGGGGCATAATCAAACCGAGGCCAGGTGACCCCTGCAGCACCGCTCCCAGGGTCACCGGCGGTATGTGGAAGAGCAGTAAGAGGTCCTCCTCGTTCTCCTCCTCCTCCTCCTCCTCCTCCTCCTCCTCCTCCTCCTCCTCCGCCTCCCCCGCCTCCTCGTCCTCCTCCCATTCCTCCTTCTCCCCCTCGTCGTCCTCATTATCCCTTTCTCCGAGGCGGCGAGTTGTGCATGCCCACCGCCAGCCGGGGACCCCGAAGGGGGAGGGGCTCGGAGCAGCTTTTTGGGAAGAAGAGTCCATGAGTTGCCAGAAGCTGTCCTGGCCCACGGTGCCCCCAACCATTCTCGCCTTTTTGGAGCCCCCTGGGGCCCCTAAGGCCTCGCGAGGGGTGCTCTGGAGGCCGTCCGGGAATCTCCGGGAATCCCGGGGGCACCTTCGGCCATGGACACATCCGAACAAGCTCGGGCCACACAGATCTTGTGGGACGAGCGCGAGTGCAACCGTGAGAGAATCGCCATCGCACCCCCGAGCGGACCTCGCAACGTTTGTGAACGCCGCTATCTTTTCTGTCCCTCCCGCATGTCCCTCCCTGGCCTCTCCCTCCTCGGACTCCCTGTGCCCTGATGCCGTCTGCCCCGGCCCTCCTCTCTCATAGATCACCGCGCTCCCGTCGGGTGTCCCTTCTATCCTCTCCCCTAGCCCATAGCCCCCTCGCCCCCCCTTCTACGCATCTACTCTCGATACCACGTGTTCCCTGCAGCCCCCTTCAAGGAGTCGGAGGAGTCGTGGGCGGTATGATGATGGAAGAGGTGGGAGGAGGACGAAAAGGAAATGCGCCGCGTAGAACGCCTGCGGGAGGCACGGCTCTCCGCGAACGGATACCCACTTATCAACTGTCCCCGAACTCTCCCACGTGTCTCGCAATGGATGGTCCCCATTAGTTGCTCACAGGCATGCGCAAGATTCCCCCAGTGCATGCACGCGTCCCCCCCTCATTACAATAAAATGCGCACTCGTCAGTCGCATTCGTGACCGCACGAATGCCCCCCACTAGCATGAATGGAAACTGATCCCCACCACACTAACATGGACCACGAACGGGGCGTTTCAGACGATCGACAAATAACCAGATTTGCCTCACGAACTATTGCGCGATGTTGTAACTACGTTGCACCCCGCAGCCGCGGACAAGAGTAAGTGGGTGGCGGGGACGTCGGCTGTCTGCGAGGTTCTGAGGAAGCCCGCCGCAGGCGCTTAAGTGTCGCTAAGCTATACAAAAAGCCCGCCGCAGGCGCCGATATTTCATCAAAACAATGTGGGTGGGTTGCAGGGTTGGTCGCGGGTGGGTCGAGAGTGGGTCGCGGCTGGTTCGCGGGTGGGTCGCGGGTGGGTCGCGGGCGGGTCGCGGGGTGGGTCGCGGGTGGGTCGCGGGTGGGTCGGTCGCAGGTAAGGTTGCGGGTCGGTCGCCCTGAAGGTCGCGGGTGGGTCGCGGGTGTGTCGCAGGTGGGTCGCGGGTGGGTCGCGGGGGGACGACGACAACAAACAACAACATCAACAACAACAACAACAACAACAGCAACAGCAACAACAACAACACCAACAACAAAATTGGCACGTGACCTTGTTGCCCGTTCACCGGGCAACTTGGTCAATGCTTGTCCTTAAAAGACACCCGTGACCTTGCTTCCCGGGGGTTAGCACCCCCCGGCAACCAGCAACCAACAACCTCGGGTTCCATTCCTCGCTCCGCTGTAACTTCGTTGGCTTGAGGGTGTGAACTCCTCCTTCATGCAATGTTCCCATGTCTCCACCAGCGAAGATCTGGAATGTATCGGCTCCTACATGATCCTATAGGAATCCTATATTGATCTTACGGGGATCCTATAGAGATCCTATGCGATCCTGATAGGGTCCCACGGGGATTCAATAAGGATCCCATGCGGTCCTGTAGCATCCTGAAAGATCGTCTAGGGATTGTATGGGAAGCCCATGCGACCCTGTAGGACCCTACAGGGATTGTATGGGGAGCGTATGGGAATCCCATGAGATCGTATAAAACCTTATGGGAATCATTGTAACGGATGCCCATGCGATCCTATAGGGATCCAATGGGAATCGTATAGGGACTTGTAAAAGGAATCCCATGCGAACCTATAGGACCCCATAGGGACCGTATAAGGATTGTATCGGGATCCTGTGCGATCCGATGGGATCCTGTACGGATTGTATAAGAAACCCATGCGACCCTATATGATCCGGTTGGACTCATATAGGGATTATATAACAACCCCATGCGGTCCTATAGGGATCCTATGGGAATCCGGTCGGGATTATGTAGGGATCCCATGCGATCCTACAGGATCCTATAGGGATGTTATCGGGATCCCCTGGGACCCTATAGAATCCTAGACGGATCCTATGGGAACCGCATAAGGATTTGAACGGAATCCCATGCGGTCCGATAGGGTCATATGGGAATCGATGGGGAGTGCGTAGGAATCCCATGCGATCCTATAGGGTCCTAGAGGGATTCTTTGGACTGAATAGGCATCCCATGCGATCCCATACGATCCTATAGGAATCCGATAGGGATTCTCTATGGAAATCCCATGCGGCCCTGTAGGATCCTGCGGACATCGTATACGGATTGTATAGGAACCCCAAGCGATCCTATAGGATCCTATAGGGACCCTATGGGGATCGTATCGGAATCCCATGTGATCGTTCAGAATATGTTTGGAATCGTAGATGGCGTGTATAGGAACCACCATGCGATCCTATAAGATCATATTGGGCTCCTATAGGGACCCCATGCGATCCTATAGGACCCTATAGGGGTCCTATAGGATCCTGGAAGGATTGTATAGAAATCCCTTGCGACCCTGTAGGATCCTACAGGAATCGTATAGGGATTGTATGGAAGTCCCATGCGATCCAGCAGGGTCCTATAATAATCGTATAGGAATCCCATGCGATCCGATCGGCTCCTATACGAACCGTATAGGTATTGTATAAGAATCCCATGCGATCCTGTAGGCACTTGTGAGAATCCCATGCGAACCTATAGGATCCCAAAAGAACCGTATAGGATCGTATAGGCATCGTATAGCGATTGTATAGGATTCCCGTGCGATCCTATCGGGTCCTATGGGGATCGTATGCGGAATGTATAGGAATCCCATGCGGTCCTGTAGGGTCCTCGGAATTCGTATACGGATTGTATAGGACTTGTGTAGGAGCCGATCGGGAACCTATAAGATCCCTTTCAGGTACTATAAGATCGTTGTGGGATGCTACGACGGTTCCAATAGGATCCCGATAGGACCCTACAGGATTCCTATAGGATCCGATGGCATCCCTATAGAACCCTATACGATTCCTTTGGGATCCTTATAGGAGCCTATGGCATCCCGACAGGATACTATAAGAGACCTTTCGGATCATATTGAGAATCCTATAAGATCCCCCTGGATCCAATTGCATCCTAAAAGGGTGTGCCGAAATGAACTTTCGGGGGGAGCTCCATGTGAGGCCAAATCCACGATCCTCGAGAGGGGTGTGCTGAAATGAACCTTCGGTTGCTGGTTGCTGGGGGGGCGGGCAACCAGGTCACGCGTCAACCAACCACAATCATAACAACAACAACAAAAACAACACCAACAACAACAGCAACAACAACAACAACAACAACAAACACCACCAGCACAACAACCAACACAAACAAACAAACACACAAACACCACAACAACAACAACAACAACAACAACAACAACAACAACACCACCAACAACAACAACAACAACACCGACAACAACAACAACAACAACAACAACAAAATCAACAACAACAACGACGACAACGACAACGACAACAACAACGACGACAACAACAACAACAATCCGCACCGGAAAACCTCATTTCAGCCACCCGCCCAGGGACAATAAATGACCGTTCGCCCCCCCTGAAAAGGCCCGCAGGGGGATCCCAGGATACCCCCAAGAGGGCCAACCTCCTTCCTGCCGCGCGGACCGAAGCGACGTCAAGTTCACGACAACTCCCAAGTCAGACCGCTGTTAAGAATTGCACCGTTCCTACACCCAGCCTCCGTCCAGTTGCGCTGTTGCAGTGGCGCGGCGGTGGAGTTCGCCGCAGGCAGCTGGACACTGGCTCATAAGCTAAACTGGTACGTGCTTGAAAGCACGCCACTGACATGATAAATGTTCGGAAATGCGCGCGCGTACAAGTATCACAGGCTCCTCTGGAAAATAGAAGCGCTTAAGGCAACGCGTGCGCAACGCAATTGCTCTTTTGCAGGGGATGGCGGGGGGGGGGCGGTCGATATCGGTGTGGCTTGCATGCTGTTATTTATATCGGATGAACGGCCGTGCACATATGTGGGAACATCAATGC